ATGGAGCCTGGCACCTCATGATCACCCGCTGTAGATCAACCTGTTTCTTCTTGCTACTCCCCGGGGGGAGGCAGTTTCCTACAGGCCTCGAGGGACCTGACCTTTCGGCTGGCCTGCGTTCCTCTTTCTCTTTGCATCCATGAGTCTAACAAACGTGTAACCGTTTACAGCTTTACTTGTGCTTTCACCAGCTTCTGGCTTCCGTGCACGGGGGAAGGGGAGGCCAGTTCCTCTGAGCATCCCATATCGTCAGAACGCCAGAATTCCATGATGTGTGCCTGTCTGATGTAAACGAGCGGAACTCCGGCTGTGTGGAAGTATGTGAGCTACAGGCTACTATTTTCTCGTTACAGGGATCACCGAAAGGTTCTCCCCGCACACAGCTGCTGTGGACCGCACCTCACCATCCAGACACGGGAGATGATCGCCTCTTGGCTCTAGCCAGCGAGCACACTTGTTCACCCCAGCCTTCAGAACCAGTAACTCCAGAACGAGGCATTCTGAGAAACAGCTTCGTTCAGCTGACAACAATATAGTCCTTGAGGTTTTCATAATAACAAGATGATATTTTCAAGCCAGAAAGTGAAGGGGGGAGGGGTGGGGAAGGGCGGAGGGGGGAGGGGACACCAGCGGGCACCAATGGACAGCGTCTGCAACCCAGACGACATTCAGAGCTCTGACGCCCGTTCTGTGGCCTCGATGCCAGGCTTGCACGCTGCGGGCTCTAACACAGGCCTAACGTCATCCCGTCATCCCGTTTCCCCAAAGCTACCTCAGTGGAGCCCTGTAAATGAGAAGAAATTGCCTGCTGCTGGGCCCTGAGGTTTGCGCAACACTTGGGAAACTGGAGTCAAAAAAGGATGCAAAGTATTTCAGATTGGAAATAAGTGAGGTGCCAGCATGCGGGGGGGGGGGGGGGTGGTGAGGGGGAGCGGGGGGGGTGGGGGGGGGGGGGGGGGGGGGGGGTTCTGACAGGGAAGTCCTGGGAGCTAAGAGTCATGGGGTGCAGTGTGTCTCCCATGCTGTGGACAGTGACCTTGGGGCAGAAAGAGTGGTGGGTGTGAAGGAGATGGCCGGACGCTGCCCTGAGAAAGTCTTCGTGCTGTTTCTCACGTGGGAGTACGGGGCTGTGCCTGTGTGTTCGCCTCATTTGGGGTGAAGCTATGATGCTCACATTTTATTATTCATAAGGTAGAAAAGAGCTTCTAGTCTGTTTTCTTTCTGTAACCAAAAAAAAAAAAAAGAAATTGTTTGTTGTTCTTTCTCGAGACAGGGCTTTTTCCGTGTAGCCTTGGCTGTCCTGGACTCGCTCTGTAGACCAGGTTGGACTTGAACTCACAGAAATTCATCTGCCCCTGCCTCCCACGTGCTGGGATTAAAGGCGTGAGTCACTGCTGCTCAGCTTAAGATATCCATCTATCTATCTATCTATCTATCTATCTATCTATCTATCTATCTATCTATC